GTGTGTGCGTGTGTGTCTGTGTGTCTGTGTGTCTGTCTGTGTGTGTGTGTGTGTGTGTCTGTGTCTGTGTCTGTGTCTGTGTCTGTGTGTGTGTGTGTGTGTGTGTGTGTGTCTGTGTGTGTGTGTGTGTGTGTGGTCTGTGTGTCTGTGTGTGTGTGTGTGTGTGTGTGTGATTACGAAGGGGGTGGGTGGTGGTACATCTTGTTGTTCCAGGCTACTTTAAAAAACAGAGGGCTGCTGGAGGTACTGAGAAAACAGATACAGTTGAAGTCGGAAGTTTACATACCCTTAGGTCGGAGTCATTAAAACTTGTTTTTCAACCACTCCACAAATTTCTTGTTAACAAACTATAGTTTTGGCAAGTCGGTTAGGACATCTACTTTGTGCGTGACACAAGTAATTTTTCCAACAATTGTTTACAGACAGATTATTTCACTTATAATTCACTGTATCACAATTCCAGTGGGTCCGAAGTTTATATACACTAAGTTGACTCTGCCTTTAAACAGCTTGGAAAATTCCAGAAAATGATGTCATGGCTTTAGAAGCTTCTGATAGGCTAATTGACATAATTTGAGTCAATTGGAGGTGTACCTGTGGATGTATTTCAAGGCTTACCTTCAAACTCAGTGCCTCTTTGCTTGACATCATGGGAAAATCAAAAGAAATCAGCCAAGACCTCAGAAAAAAAATTGTAGACCTCCACAAGTCTGGTTCATCCTTGGGAGCAATTTCCAAACGCCTGAAGGTACCACGTTCATCTGTACAAACAATAGTACGCAAGTATAAACACCATGGGACCACGCAGCCGTCATACCGCTCAGGAAGGAGACGCGTTCTGTCTCCTAGAGATGAACGTACTTTGGTGCGAAAAGTGCAAATCAATCCCAGAACAACAGCAAAGGACCAAAAGTATCTATATCCACAGTAAAACAAGTCCTATATCGACATAACCTGAAAGGCCGCTCAGCAAGGAAGAAGCCACTGTTCCAAAACCGCCATAAAAAAGGCAGACTACGCTTTGCATCTGTACATGGGGACAAAGATCGTACTTTTTTGAGAAATGTCCTCTGATGAAACAAAAATAGAACTGTTTGGCCATAATGACCATCGGTTTGCTTACAAGTCGAAGAACACCATCCCAACCGTGAAGCACGGGGGTGGCAGCATCATGCTGTGGGGGTGCTTTTCTGCAGGAGGGACTGGTGCACTTCACAAAATAGATGGCATCATGAGGAAGGAAAATGATGTGGATATATTGAAGCAACATCTCAAGACATCAGTCAGGAAGTTAAAGCTTGGTCGCATATGGGTCTTCCAAATGGACAATGACCCCAAGCATACTTCCAAAGTCGTGGCAAAATGGCTTAAGGACAACAAAGTCAAGGTATTGGAGTGGCCATCACAAAGCCCTGACCTCAATCCTATAGAACATTTGTGGGCAGAACTTAAAATGCGTGTGCAAGCAAGGAGGCCTATAAACCTGACTCAGTTACACCAGCTCTGTCTGGAGGAATGGGCCAAAATTCACCCAACTCATTGTGGGAAGCATGTGGAAGGCTACCCGAAACGTTTGACCCAAGTTAAACAATTTAAAGGCAATGCTACCAAATACTAATTGAGTGTATGTAAACTTCTGACCCACTGGGAATGTGATGAAAGAAATAAAAGCTGAAATAAATCATTCTCTCTACTATTATTCCGACATTTCACGTTCTTAAAATAAAGTGGTGATCCTAACTGACCTATGACAGGGAATTTTTACTAGGATTAAATGTCAGGAATTGTGAAAAACTGAGTTTAAATGTATCTGGCTAAGGTGTATGTAAACTGTACATACACACACACACACACACACACACACACACACAGACAGATACACACAGACAGATACACACAGACAGATACACACACAGATACATTGAGCAGTGGCTCAATTCGGTGTGCAGTAGAACAACGTAGCCTTTGTGGCCTTTCTGTGGAGTGATAAAGACAGATCTCTCTTTGATGAATGTGTGCTGTAGTGTGCTCCAAGCTGATAGCATTAACGTCACATAGACACACAGGAACACCATCACCATCATCATCATCATCATCAGCCAGGGAATCAGCCAACCAGCAACAGACATCTACAGCTTCCCTGGTATTACCGTTTTAAAATGGCAGTAATAGGAAAAATCATACCATTCTAAGGGACATGATTTATCTTAATCAGCTAACACAACACTGATAAAAACAACCTTTGTTTTCAACCCTAAACAGATTAACCATTAAACCATGTAGGAGATGGATGACAGATTAACCATTAAACCATGTAGGAGATGGATGACAGATTAACCATTAAACCATGTAGGAGATGGATGACAGATTAACCATTAAACCATGTAGGAGATGGATGACAGATTAACCATTAAACCATGTAGGAGATGGATGACAGATTAACCATTAAACCATGTAGGAGATGGATGACAGATTAACCATTAAACCATGTAGGAGATGGATGACAGATTAACCATTAAACCATGTAGGAGATGGATGACAGATTAACCATTAAACCATGTAGGAGATGGATGACAGATTAACCATTAAACCATGTAGGAGATGGATGACAGATTAACCATTAAACCATGTAGGAGATGGATGACAGATTAACCATTAAACCATGTAGGAGATGGATGACAGGGTATTGTCTCACCAGGGCTATAATCATTCACTGACATCACAGTTCCACAAGGAGCTTTATATAGAGTGAGATACAGTGGGGAAAAAAAGTATTTAGTCAGCCACCAATTGTGCAATTCTCCCACTTAAAAAGATGAGAGAGGCCTGTAATTTTCATCATAGGTACACGTCAACTATGACAGACAAATAGAGATTTTTTTTCTCCAGAAAATCACATTGTAGGATTTTTAATGAATTTATTTGCAAATTATGGTGGAAAATAAGTATTTGGTCACCTACAAACAAGCAATATTTCTGGCTCTCACAGACCTGTAACTTCTTCTTTAAGAGGCTCCTCTGTCCTCCACTCGTTACCTGTATTAATGGCACCTGTTTGAACTTGTTATCAGTATAAAAGACACCTGTCCACAACCTCAAACAGTCACACTCCAAACTCCACTATGGCCAAGACCAAAGAGCTGTCAAAGGACACCAGAAACACAATTGTAGACCTGCACCAGGCTGGGAAGACTGAATCTGCAATAGGTAAGCAGCTTGGTTTGAAGAAATCAACTGTGGGAGCAATTATTAGGAAATGGAAGACATACAAGACCACTGATAATCTCCGTCGATCTGGGGCTCCACGCAAGATCTCACCCCGTGGGGTCAAAATGATCACAAGAACGGTGAGCAAAAATCCCAGAACCACACGGGGGGACCTAGTGAATGACCTGCAGAGAGCTGGGACCAAAGTAACAAAGCCTACCATCAGTAACACACTACGCCGCCAGGGACTCAAATCCTGCAGTGCCAGACGTGTCCCCCTGCTTAAGCCAGTACATGTCCAGGCCCGTCTGAAGTTTGCTAGAGTGCATTTGGATGATCCAGAAGAGGATTGGGAGAATGTCATATGGTCAGATGAAACCAAAATAGAACTTTTTGGTAAAAACTCAAACTCGTCGTGTTTGGAGGACAAAGAATGCTGAGTTGCATCCAAAGAACACCATACCTACTGTACATTTGACATTTTAGTCATTTAGCAGACGCTCTTATCCAGAGCGACTTACAGTTAGTGAACACATATATATATATATTTTTATACTGGCCCCCCGTGGGAATCGAACCCACAACCCTGGCGTTGCAAACGCCATGCTCTATAAACTGAGCTACATCCCTGCCGGCCATTCCCTCCCCTACCCTGGACGACGCTGGGCCAATTGTGCGCCGCCCATGAGTCTCCCAGTCGCGGCCGGCTGCGACAGAGCCTGGATTCGAACCAGGATCTCTAGTGGCACAGTTAGCACTGCGATGCAGTGCCTTAGACCACTGCGCCACTCAGGAGTACTGTGAAGCATGGGGGTGGAAACATCATGCTTTGGGGCTGTTTTTCTGCAAAGGGACCAGGACGACTGATCCATGTAAAGGAAAGAATGAATGGGGCCATGTATCGTGAGATTTTGAGTGAAAACCTCCTTCCATCAGCAAGGGCATTGAAGATGAAAAGTGGCTGGGTCTTTCAGCATGACAATGATCCCAAACACACCGCCCGGGCAACGAAGGAGTGGCTTCGTAAGAAGCATTTCAAGGTCCTGGAGTGGCCTAGCCAATCTCCAGATCTCAACCCCATAGAAAATCTTTGGAGGGAGTTGAAAGTCAGTGTTGCCCAGCGACAGCCCCAAAACATCACTGCTCTAGAGGAGATCTGCATGGAGGAATGGGCCAAAATACCAGCAACAGTGTGTGAAAAGACTTACAGAAAACGTTTGACCTGTGTCATTGCCAACAAAGGGTATATAACAAAGTATTGAGAAACTTTTGTTATTGACCAAATACTTATTTTCCACCATAATTTGCAAATAAATTCATTAAAAATCCTACAATGTGATTTTATGGATTTTTTTTTCTCATTTTGTCTGTCATAGTTGACGTGTACCTATGATGAAAATTACAGGCCTCTCTCATCTTTTTAAGTGGGAGAACTTGCACCATTGGTGGCTGACTAAATACTTTTTTCCCCCACTGTATAGTAGCTAATTGGACGGGTTGTGAATGAGACAGAGGGAGGAGACAGTAAAGGGGACAGACAGGAAGTGGAGGTGACAGATAGGAAGTGGAGGTGACAGATAGGAAGTGGAGGTGACAGATAGGAAGTGGAGGTGACAGATAGGAAGTGGAGGTGACAGATAGGAAGTGGAGGTGACAGATAGGAAGTGGAGGTGACAGATAGGAAGTGGAGGTGACAGATAGGAAGTGGAGGTGACAGATAGGAAGTGGATGAGACTGTTAGCATGGGGGCTAAGTGTGACATTACCCATGGGCAATGCTAACTGTTCCTGGTCTTAGTAATCAGTGTGTTTGGTCTCACCGAAGGCGGCGGTCAAGGCAGGGTCCATGGTGGGCTGTCCGTCTCCAGAGGGAAGGTCCAGGCGGGTGAAGTCTCGGCTCTTGTCGTTGTTGTACTTCACATTCAGGCTGGTCAGCTTGGAGAACTCCACACGCAGAGTGCAGCACGCATTATAGATGTTCTGGCCATCCAGAGTCTGGAGAGATAGACAAACAGAAAGGGTGTTAGATCAACAAATAGAATAGAACAGACCTCCATTGGGCCATATTGAATACCAAAGTATTCAGAGTTCTGTAAACAATTTCAGGGGAACTGGCACACAAAATGTTTAAGTATCAATCAGACCTCCATAAACATGTTTGAGTATCAATCAGACCTCCATAAGTTGTTGCACCGGACACAGGACATGTAACATGTAGGAGAACCAGACACAGGACATGTAACATGTAGGAGAACCAGACACAGGACATGTAACATGTAGGAGAACCAGACACAGGACATGTAACATGTGGGAAAACCAGACACGGACATGTAACATGTAGGAGAACCAGACCAAGGACTGTAAATGTAGGAGAACCAGACACAGGACATGCAACATGTAGGAGAACCAGACACAGGACATGTAACATGTAGGAGAACCAGACACAGGACATGCAACATGTAGGAGAACCAGACACAGGACATGTAACATGTAGGAGAACCAGACACAGGACATGTAACATGTAGGAGAACCAGACACAGGACATGTAACATGTAGGAGAACCAGACACAGGACATGTAAATGTAGGAACCAGACACGGACATGTAACATGTAGGAGAACCAGACCAGGACATGTAACATGTAGGAGAACCCAGACACAGGACATGTACCATGTAGGAGAACCAGACAAAAGGACATGTAACATGTAGGAGAACCCAGACACAGGACATGTAACATGTAGGAGAACCAGACACGGACATGTAACATGTAGGAAAAACCAACACAGGACATGTAACATTAGGAGAACCAACACAGACATGAAACCTTAGGAGAACCAGACACAGGACATGTAACATTTAGTAAAACCCGACACAGGACATGAACATGTAGGAGAACCAGACACAGGACATGTAACATTAGGAAACCAGACACGGGAAACATGTAACATGTAGGAGAAACCAGACACAGACATGTAACATGTAGGAAAACCAGAACACGGGACATGTACTGTAGGAGAACCAGACACAGGACATGTAACTGTAGGAGAACCAGACACAGGACATGTAACATGTAGGAAACCAAGACACAGGACATGTAACATGTAGGAGAACCAGACACAGGACATGTAACATGTAGGAGAACCAGACACAGGACATGTAACATGTAGGAGAACCAGACACAGGACATGTAACATGTAGGAGAACCAGACACAGGACATGTAACATGTAGGAGAACCAGACACAGGACATGTGACATGTAGGAGAACCAGACACAGGACATGTAACATGTAGGAGAACCAGACACAGGACATGTAACATGTAGGAGAACCAGACACAAGGCATGTAACATGTAGGAGACCTGTAGGACGCTGACCGGTCGGTCGCCAAGGTATTCCTAGTCGATCACCAAACATGTCTGTAGAAAAGTCAACCATAAAGGCTTGCACTCCTTTGTTTTTGTTTTGTGATACGCTGTTGGCGGTAGATTCAGAAGTCCTGCGCACTGGGTAAGCAAAGTGTTCCCATTTTGAACCATTTAATTTGTCTGAAAAGAGAAACTCCACCTACCCGGCGGACCTGGAGACCTGTGGCTAAATCGAGTGCGCCTACTGCGCTGGCCAATCGGATAGCTCAAATCACCATGCCTACAGAGCTTCCACGACCCCGGCCTCAGCAAAGTTTGATACCAGCCTTTAAAATCACTTTTAAAACCATGACCACAGAGAGACTGTCAAAGAATACAGCAAAGAGCTGCTGTTTTTATGAGTGAGTTCATGTTCTTATTCAGCGCTGTCCACACTGTTTTTATTCAACACCATTACAAAACACAAAACGCGCTTCTCCGTACTTCCACTCACGCTGCAGCTGCACTGAATAAGGAGCCGAGTGTATCGACAGCCCTGCATTTGTATTATCATTAGCAGCTCGTCCTGTCTATTTTAATATTGAGGAATAGTTCACTGTCTCTGGTCATAGAAACAGCATGACTTTGTGCATGAGGCAGATGCAGTGCGACTCGAGTTTTGCCATCAGGTGGAAGACGGTGTCCCCTCTCTCAGGCCAGTCTCACCGGAAGAAAGCAAGGAGAGAGCAGGGACCATGAGAGGCTCCCTCCCTCTGCTGAGACTAATGCCGTGTTCAAAACAACTGGGAACTCGGAAATCTCACACTTCCGACTTCAGTGCGTTCAAGACAACTAGGAACTCGAAAGAAAACACGACCCGACTGGGAAAAAAACGTTTTTGAACAGTCATCCAACTCGGAATTCCAAGTCGGAAACTCTGGCATCTGTCACGACCGTCTGAAGGATTGGACCAATGCGCAGCGTTGCGAGTGAACATAATGACTTTATTATAAAGCAACCACGAAAAAACAACAAAAGACGATACGTGAAGTTCTATACTGAATAAGACTAACAGCAACAAAGAAACAATAACCCACAACCACAAGGTGAAAACACACAGAATAAATATGGCTCCCAATCAGAGATAACGAGCCGAACAGCTGACACTCGTTACCTCCGATTGGGAGTCATTAACCAAATTACCAAAAACACAAACAAATGAAACTCACCCCTACCCAACACCACCAAATGAAATACACCCAAAAGAAAAATGAACAACCCTGGCTCAAAATCAACGTCCATAGAGCCAGAGTGTTACAGTACCCCCCCCTAAAGGTGCGAACTCCGGGCGCACCAACATCAGGACTAGGGGAGGGTCTGGGTGGGCGTCTGTCCATGGTGGTGGCTCTGGCCCCGGTCGTGATCCCCACCCCACCACAGTCACAACCTGCTTCGGTAGCCTCCTCCCAATGACCACCCTCCACCTAACCCCACCTGGACTAAGGGGCAACCCCGGACTAAGGGGCAGCATCGGCCTAAGGGGCAGCACCGGGATAAGGGGCAGCACCGGGATAAGGGGCAGCACCGGGACAAGGGGCAGCACCGGACTACGGGGCAGCACCGGGCTAAAGGGCAGCACCGGACTAAGGGGCAGCACCGGACTAAGGGGCAGTACCGGACTACGGGGCAGCACCGGGCTAAGGGGCGGCACCGGACTCAGGGGCAGCACCGGACTAAGGGGCAGCACCGGGCTAAAGGGCAGCACCGGGCTAAGGGGCAGCACCTGACTAGATGGCGGATCCTGGCTGGCTGGCTCTGGCGGATCCTGGCGGGACGGCTCTGGCGGATCCTGGCGGGACGTCTCTGGCGGATCCTGGCGGGACGGCTCTGGCGGATCCAGGCTGGACGGCTCTGGCGGATCCTGGCGGGACGGCTCTGGCGGATCCTGGCGGGCCGGCTCTGGCGGATCCTGGCTGGACGGCTCTGGCGGATCCTGGTGGACGGCTCTGGCGGATCCTGGCGGGACGGCTCTGGCGGATCCAGGCTGGACGGCTCTGGCGGATCCAGGCTGGACGGCTCTGGCGGATCCTGGCGGGACCGGCTCTGGCGGATCCGGAGCTGGACCGTCTTCTGGCCGGATCCTGGCTTGGCCGGCTCTGGCTGATCCTGGCTGGGACGGCTCTGGCGGAATCCTGGCTGGGACGGCTCTGTGGCGATCCGGGCTGACCGGCTCTGGTCGGATCCTGGCTGGCCGGCTCTGGCTGATCCTGGCTGGACGGCTTCTGGCGGATCTCTGGCGGGACGGGCTCATGGCGGATCCCGGGCTGGACCGGCTCTGGCGGATCCATGGGCTGGACACGCTCGGCGGATCCTGGCTGGCTGACGGGTCTGGCTGCTCATGGCTGGCTGACGGATGGCTGCTCAATGGCTGGGGGGCTGCTCATGGCTGGCTGACGGATCTGGCTGCTCATGGCTGGCTGACGGATCTGGCTGCTCATGGCTGGCTGACGGATCTGGCTGCTCATGGCTGGCTGACGGATCTGGCTGCTCATGGCTGGCTGACGGGTCTGGCTGCTCATGGCTGGCTGACGGATCTGGCTGCTCATGGCTGGCTGACGGATCTGGCTGCTCATGGCTGGCTGACGGGTCTGGCTGCTCATGGCTGGCTGACGGGTCTGGCTGCTCATGGCTGGCTGACGGATCTGGCTGCTCATGGCTGGCTGACGGGTCTGGCTGCTCATGGCTGGCTGACAGATCTGGCTGCTCATGGCTGGCTGATGGTGCTGGCTGGGAGGCTGGCGGTGGAGGCGGACCCCAGCCTCGGATAGCAGTCATCACCTCCAGCAGGGCGGCTCCCATCTGCAGGATCTGCTCTTTCTGGTTCCGAACCTGAGCTTCCAGTCTAGTATGGGCTGCGTCGGCTCCTGCTGATTCCATAGCAGGTGTCTGATTCTGTCTGGCGGACGGCTCTGCAGGCTCATGGCAGACGGACGGCTTTGCAAGCTCAGTACAGACGGGCGGCTTATGCAGCGCTTGGCAGACGGGCAGTTCAGATGCCCTAGGGCAGACGGCAGACTCTGGCCGGCTGGCGACGCACATCGTGGACCTGGTGCGTGGAGTAGGAACAGACCGGCCCGTACCGGGAACACCCACCACTGGCCTTAACTGGGGATCAAGAACGGACCGGACCAGACTGGGAACACACTTCAGTCTCTCATGCCGTGCCACAACAACTTCCCTCCCTCTACTCGCCAATGGCTCCCGTAATCCGATAGCCTTCTCTCCAGCTCTACCCGTGGCAGCCTCCTGCTGCCCAGGCGCCCAAGCCATGTGCCCCCCCCCAAAAATTTTTTGGGGAGTAACCACGGGCTCCCAGCCTCGACTCCGCGCTTCCTCTTCGTACCACCTCCTCTCGGCTGCAGCTGCCTCCAGCTCTTCACGAGGGCGGTGATCTTCCTCCGGTTGTGCCCAAGGACCCTTTCCAGCCCGAATCTCCTCCCAAGTCCAAAAATCCTTAGGAGGCGTCCATACATCCTGCGTAGGTAGGTCCTGTTGCCGCTTGTTACGCCGCTTGGTCCTCTTGTGGTGGGTTATTCTGTCACGACCGTCTGAAGGATTGGACCAATGCGCAGCGTTGCGAGTGAACATAATGACTTTATTATAAAGCAACCACGAAAAAACAACAAAAGACGATACGTGAAGTTCTATACTGAATAAGACTAACAGCAACAAAGAAACAATAACCCACAACCACAAGGTGAAAACACACAGAATAAATATGGCTCCCAATCAGAGATAACGAGCCGAACAGCTGACACTCGTTACCTCCGATTGGGAGTCATTAACCAAATTACCAAAAACACAAACAAATGAAACTCACCCCTACCCAACACCACCAAATGAAATACACCCAAAAGAAAAATGAACAACCCTGGCTCAAAATCAACGTCCATAGAGCCAGAGTGTTACAGCATCTTTCTAGAGCTCCGACTTTCCGACCTGAAGATCACCAACGTCATGATTTGACCTGGGTTTTTTTGAGTTCCCAGTTGTCTTGGAAGCACCATGACCATCAGATGCAGGTACAAGGCAAATTAAATCTGTGCCATCGCTGGAAGCCCCGCCTTCCACAGGTGATAAGTGTGAGGCTTGGATTCATTCCTTCAATTACTCCGCTCTTTACCTCAACAGGAACGATTCATGCTACCTAAACAAACAATTGGGACACGAGACTGTCTTATGTTGACCCAACTAAACTGTCCCTTAGTGGTAAAGCGTGCTCATCCCCTGGACATTGTGTGCTGAAGTTTGTTTGGTTCTAATAAGTTTCCTAATCACAAACATGAATTATTCGAATTGCTTGGCCTGGCTTTGGCAATAAGTAAGATGGCTAACGCAACCGAAACGACGAAGGCTGACAAGCAGCCTGACTCGGACTGGCCTTCTCGTGACTTATATTTTCACCTGGACTGGATAGGCTACTATGATAAGCAGAATATAAGCAGCACTGGGTGCGCAGAGCAGCGAGGGTTCTGTTCTCTAGCAGTGGGAAGGACGCGCCACACCCGGCAAGTGACTCTCTTGCTTCCCCGTAACGACCAGCCTACTATTTAGCTTTGCCTGGTTAAGAAACACAAACTGCTTTACGAAAAGTAAAACACTAGTATTGAGTTTAATAGTCAACAACACTAGCTATTTGTCTCTCTCTCTTTGAGGACAGAAAAGTAGGCTGTCTTTGAACGTCGTCTCGCTCTACCCTTCTCCCACTTTCCCCCCGTGCATCCTATAGCCAGGTTCTGACAAGTCTCCCTTTAGTTTTCACTCTGCAATAAAAAAATGTCAGTGGGCGATTACAAAAAAGTATCTGAGAGCCTGACTTACCATTCATCTATGTAGTAAATAAGTAACAGAGGTATTGAGTAGAACTTGTGCGGTAGTGATGGATAGTAAATTAGTTGGGTCTTTTCATGAGGGAGTGGTGATATACTGCCATCTGGTGGCGACTAGAAACAACTGCATAATAAGACCTATTATAAATTGATGGACTTGTGACTCGACCATTGGTGACTCGGACTTGGACTCGACTCAGACATCAGCCATAGGGACTCGTGACTCGACTTGGACTTGAGGTTTAGTGACTCGACTACAACACTGGTGGCTGGTGTGTGTGATTTGAGATTTGTTGGCTCTAGCTACAGGCAGCCAGCTATAGCACGGAGATGGAGGAGGCCAGGCAGTAAAACACATCGTCCAACCTCTCCTCCTCCTACCACATGGGAGCTAGACAGCATGTTTAGCCTGTATGTTTGCCCTGTGAATAAACAAAGATCTATGCAGAAACCGTGTGCTCCTTTTTCTTATTTTGGGATAGCGACCTGTTGAAGTGTCCTGGGGTAAGGAAAGCTTTTTCAGATGATCAAGTCCCTGTTGGGATAGTGACCTGTTGAAGTGCCCTGGGGTAAGGAATGCTTTTTCAGATGATCAAGTCCCTGATTCCATTTATGTTCAAGCTAGGCTGAAGCGTGTTTGGGTATGCTTTAAGCTCAGGTTTACAGCATGGTTGGGGTTGTATTGGGATGTATTGAAGAAAAGACCATCAGGCTAGGTTTAGGATTATAGAACCAAGGGTTGCAATGGGGACCAAGATTTATCTGGGCTAAACTGAGCTGAGAGGGAATATATCTGATATTATTTTTTATCAAAAACACATCGGGACAGAAATAGACAGACTGTAGATCTTTGTTATACACTCTCCTGCCTCTTCTGACTGCTTCGTGACTCTTTCCAAAGACCTAGCCAAAGACATAGCCAAAGACCTAGCCAAAGACCTAGCCAAAGACCTAGCCAAAGACCTAGCCTAGCCATTTCAACCCCATGTGAGGAGGTACGTACCACTGGTGTGGTGGGCAGTTATAGGGTCAGTACGTACCACTTTGGCGTGGTGGGCATTCATTGGGTCAGCATATTGTAGCAAGGCCTGGAACTGGTTGTTCTTGGTGAAAGTGATGATCTTCAAGACTGTCCCGAACTTAGAGAAGATCTATGGAGGCAAAAACACAACCCAGTTCATATAAACATGTCTCTTTGACTACTTAGCGCCATACTCTCATTTCAGTATTCTGTGTTATGACCTGGGCTCCTCTCAATTCATCTTTCCTTGATTCCTCTCTCCACATCTCCTTCTCAAAGCACATTGGAGAAGGTCAGAGGGCAGGGACTATTGAGATAGAGCCATAGAGGTCAGGGTTACCTGGTGTAGGACCTCCAGTGATACAGGGTAGAAGAGGTTAGGGGTTATAGGTCAGGGTTACCTGGTGTAGGACCTCCAGTGATACAGGGTAGAAGAGGTTAGGGGTTATAGGTCAGGGTTACCTGGTGTAGGACCTCCAGTGATACAGGGTAGAAGAGGTTAGGGGTTATATGTCAGGGTTACCTGGTGTAGGACCTCCAGTGATACAGGGTAGAAGAGGTTTTCTACGATGATACGCAGCACGGGGCTCTGTCCTGGCATCAAGGTTCCATCACTGCCCGATGCTGAACCGCCTAACGCCATGTTCCCAGAATGCACTGCGTTGACCGCCTGCAATGCTGCCTGAGCTCTCTGTTGGGGAAAGAGAGAAACAAACAATAATCATATGATATACAATAACTTATTGTCATAATGCGGAGAGAGAGAGAGACAGAGAGACAAGAGAAGAGAGAGAGAGAGAGAGAGAGAGAGAGACAGAGAGAGAGACAGAGAGAGAGAGACAGAAGAGAGGAGACAGAGATACAGAGATAAAGAGAGATAGAGTAGACAGAGATAGAAGAGGAGAGATGGATAGACGAAAAGAGCAGAGTATCTGATAGATATGATAGAAGATCGATGCAGATCTGAATATATAATATATATACTACTCTACTCTCTGCTCTAGCTCTCTACTCTCGCCTCTCATCTATCATCCTATCTCTCTTCTATCATCCCTCTCACTATCTCTTCTATACTCTCTCCTCTCTCTCTCTCTCTCTCTCTCTCTCTCTCGTCTCTCTCTCTCTCTCTCTACTCTCTCTCTATCCGATATCTTCTTGCTCTACCCTCTCTCTCTCCCATCTCTCTCTATCTCATACTCTCTATACTCACTCATCTCCTATAACTCTTAGTTAGCTATACATGACTATAAGTACGGAGCATCGTTTCCATCAAGATAATCACTTCTTATCATCTCAAATCTAATCTACATTACGCATACTATGACATTTAGCTATTACTAGATTCCATCGTGTTGATTCTTCGGAATACGAAAGAGTGTTGTTGTAACATGATACTTTACAGTAGATTAGTGCTGGCTAGAATCAGCAGACTGTGGACTGGACAAGTCTGCTTCTGGAATGGTCATATCACACACTATCTGGCCCAAATGGCACCCTATAATCTACAGTAGTAGCGCACTACTTTGACCATGCCCATAGGGAATAGGACCGGGGAAAAAACAAAACGGGGGAAGAAAGGGGGGGCCCGGGGGAAAAAGGAGAAAAAAAAAATAAAAAAAAAAAAAATTTTTTTCCAAGAAGAAAACCCGAACAATAGAAAGAGATAAAGAAGGGAGAAGAGAGAAAAAAAAAAACTAGAAAAAGGATAGAAGAAGAGACAGAGAGAAGAGAGAGAGAGAAGAAGGGGAAGAATAGAGAAGAGAGAAAGGGGCGACAGAGAGAGAGAGAAGAACAAGGAATAGAGAGAAGAAATCAGAAAACTTCTCTCTTTTTTTTTATTTTCCCGGCCGCTATCCCCTTTTTTCCTCGTCTTTTCCTGCCCTATCCTCTCCAAAAACAAAGCCTTCAATACCCCTCCATAGTTTTTCTAATATAAATTAGTATATAAGATGAATATCCCATATACGATATTTTTATCATAAGCGAAGTTGGACTCAGTGTGTTTGTGGACTGTACTCCCCCACGACGCCAGCAGCGATCACTGACCACCTTCCGGACACACTTAACCGCTACCTCTTTAAGTGAATACCTTGAATAGTATAAAGTCATCCTTTTCTTCCACCCACCACGACATCTTAAAAAAAAATTTAAACATTTTTTTTTTAAAATAAAGGTGGTTGTCCCACTGGCTATCATAAGTTGAATGCACCAATTTGTAAGTCGCTCTGGATAAGAGCGTCTGCTAAATGATGTAAATGTACTCAGCCCCTGATTGTTCAGGATGGACTGTACTGAGCCCCTGATTGGTCAGGTTGGACTCTACTCAGCACCTGATTGGTCAGGTTGGACTGTACTCAGCCCCTGAATGGTCAGGTTGGACTCTACTCAGCACCTGATTGGTCAGGTTGGACTGTACTCAGCCCCTGATTGGTCAGGTTAGACTGTACTCACCCCCTGATTGGGCAGGTTGTCAGTCTTGAGCTCGCGGTGGTTGGAGTACTGGATGTAGACGGGCTGGTTGCGGACGTGAGGCGTTGCTGTGGTATAGTAGTTCACCATGGTGATCGCTGCCTCTTCAGAAGCCATTTCTATAAAAGCCTGGTTGGTTAGAGAGGGAACACAAAGCCTGGTTGGTTAGAGAGGGAACACAAAGCCTGGTTGGTTAGAGAGGGAACACAAAGCCTGGTTGGTTAGGGAGGGAACACATAGCCTGGTTGGTTAGAGAGGGAACACAAAGCCTGGTTGGTTGGTTAGGGAGGGAACACATAGCCTGGTTGGTTAGAGAGGGAACACAAAGCCTGGTTGGTTAGGGAGGGAACACGAAGCCTGGTTGGTTAGGGAGGGAACACAAAGCCTGGTTGGTTAGGGAGGGAACACAAAGCCTGGTTGGTTGGTTAGGGAGGGAACACAAAGCCTGGTTGGTTAGGGAGGGAACACGAAGCCTGGTTGGTTAGGGAGGGAACACGAAGCCTGGTTGGTTAGAGAGGGAACACATAGCCTGGTTGGTTTAGAGAGGAGAACACATAGCCTGGTTGGTTAGGGAGGGGAGGAACACAAAGCCTGGTTGGTTAGAGAGGGAACACATAGCCTGGTTGGTTAGAGAGGGAACACAAAGCCTGGTTGGTTAGAGAGGGAACACAAAGCCTGGTTGGTTAGGGAGGGAACACAAAGCCTGGTTGGTTAGAGAGGGAACACAAAGCCTGGTTGGTTAGAGAGGGAACACAAAGACACTCATGTTAGTACAAGACAAAGCTAAAGGGGAAAGAAACAGAATAGGAAAACATATAAGGGGTAATATTAGTGGCAACAGAAAAGTCATCTCAATTCAATTATTTTAAATGTGGTATTTTGTTGGCCGTGATATCACTTCATTAAAGCAGTGTGGAACGTGTGGTATTTTGTTGGCCGTGATATCACTTCAATAAAGCAGTGTGGAACGTGTGGTATTTTGTTGGCCGTGATATCACTTCATTAAAGCAGTGTGGAACGTGTGGTATTTTGTTGGCCGTGATATCACTTCATTAAAGCAGTGTGGAACGTGAGACTGTTGAATGAGAATGAGGCTGCGTAGCAGGCGACCATGGTTCGTTTCAGAAGACAACACAGTTAGCATGTTAGCTAGGTAGGTACTGGCCAGTTAGCATGTTAGCTAGGTAGGTACTGGCCAGTTAGCATGTTAGCTAGGTAGGTACTGGCCAGTTAGCATGTTAGCTAGGTAGGTACTGGCCAGTTAGCATGTTAGCTAGGTAGGTACTGGCCAGTTAGCATGTTAGCTAGGTAGGTACTGGCCAGTTAGCATGTTAGCTAGGTAGGTACTGGCCGGATCATTTCTGACTGACGCTGCAGTAGCCTAGGAATCCCATAACATCATCTAGTAGTCTCAGTGTTACAGATGTTAACATCTTATCTGCAATGTCATTTAGTATGTCCTTTCGTCCTGCTTCTGCACCTTTAAGAGACAATACTATAGGGACAATGAAACTGATTCAGGAAAGCGTGCAGTGGGGCATAATATGACTTGGATGGTATTGAATAAGAATGACTCAGACTCATCTCAGACTAAACTGTTAGATATTAGGAGATGCCGAACTCTTTGCAGGTTGTCAGGAGGTCAGTGTGATGCGGTAGGACGAAGTCAGGCGCAGGACACAGAGCTAATCGAAAACGTACTTTACTCGTAGGTAACGTCAAATAACATAACTTCCACGCAGGGAGGAAACAAACCCGCTCACCAGACGACAACCAAACATGAACAAACACGCACAAAACCCAGTGGGAGCCAGAGGGTTAAATAGGGAACAAATCATAAACATAATGGGAACCAGGTGTGTACAATGAAGACAAAACAAGTAGAACACAGAAACATAGATCGGTGGCAGCTAGTACTCCGGTGACGACGAACGCCGAAGCCTGCCCGAGCAAGGAGGAGGAGCAGCCTCGGCGGCATCCATGACACAGGTATAACACAGCACCTCTTATGATACCAAATCAAACCAATCAAGCCATACAAATTGGACAGTATCAAATGAAATATAATTGTATTCATCACATGCTTCGTAAACAGCAGGTGTAGACTAACAGTGAATGAGTATGCATCAGAGCCTCTAGAACACGTACTATCTCTGTTCTGGTCTAAACATTATATTTCCATTTGAATGTGGGTCCTTGAAAGGGTCCTTGAGCAGAATGTGGGGAGGCAGGGGGGAGGCAGGGCACTTCCTTATCTAAGCCTCCAATTAACAGAGAACTTGATGTACTTAAAATGATGAACCCTCCAACCCTGTCCTGCACCCCATTGGCCCTCATTAAAAGTAGTGCACTACATAGGGAATAGGGTGCCATTTGGGACATATGCAAAGTCTCCAACTTCTACAGAGGCGCTACAGAGGGTCGTACAGCACTGGGGCCGAGCTTCCTGCCATCCAGGACCTCTATCTACAGAGGCGCTACAGAGGGTCGTACAGCACTGGGGCCAAGCTTCCTGCCATCCAGGACCTCTATACCAGGCGGTGTCAGAGGAAGGCCCAAGCTTCCTGCCATCCAGGACCTCTATCTACAGAGGCGCTACAGAGGGTAGTACAGCACTGGGGCCAAGCTTCCTGCCATCCAGGACCTCTATACCAGGTGGTGTCAGAGGACAGCCCAAGAAATTGTCAAAGACTCCAGTCACCCTAGTCATAGACTGTTCTCTCTGCTACCGCACGGAAAGCGGTACCGGAGCGCCAAGTCTAGGTCCAAAAGGCTCCTTAACAGATTCTATCCCCAAGCCATAAGACTGCTGAACAATTAATCAATTGGCCACCCTCCATTTGTTTTTACACTGCTGCTACCCGCCGTCTATTATCTGTGCATAGTCACTTTACCCCTACCCACATGTACAATTACCTCGACTAACCTGTACCCCGCACATTGACTCGGTACCGGTACCCCCTGTATATAGCCTCGTTATTACCTGGACTAACCTGTACCCCAGCCCATTGACTTGGTACCGGTACCCCCTGTATATAGCCTCGTTATTACCTGGACTAACCTGTACCCCAGCCCATTGACTCTGTACCGGTACCCCCTGTATATAGCCTCGTTATTACCTGGACTAACCTGTACCCCAGCCCATTGACTCGGTACCGGTACCCCCTGTATATAGCCTCGTTATTACCTGGACTAACCTGTACCCCAGCCCATTGACTTGGTACCGGTACCCCCTGTATATAGCCTCGTTATTACCTGGACTAACCTGTACCCCGCACATTGACTCGGTACCGGTACCCCCTGTATATAGCCTCGTTATTACCTGGACTAACCTGTACCCCAGCCCATTGACTTGGTACCGGTACCCCCTGTATATAGCCTCATTATTACCTGGACTAACCTGTACCCCAGCCCATTGACTCTGTACCGGTACCCCCTGTATATAGCCTCGTTATTACCTGGACTAACCTGTACCCCAGCCCATTGACTCGGTACCGGTACCCCCTGTATATAGCCTCGTTATTACCTGGACTAACCTGTACCCCAGCCCATTGACTTGGTACCGGTACCCCCCCTGTATATAGCCTCGTTATTACCTGGACTAACCTGTACCCCAGCCCATTGACTCTGTACCGGTAACCCCCTGTATATAGCCTCGTTATTACCTGGACTAACCTGTACCCCAGCCCATTGACTTGGTACCGGTACCCCCCTGTATATAGCCTCATTATTACCTGGACTAACCTGTACCCCAGCCCATTGACTCGGTACCGGTACCCCCTGTATATAGCCTCGTTATTACCTGGACTAACCTGTACCCCAGCCCATTGACTCGGTACCGGTACCCCCTGTATATAGCCTCGTTATTACCTGGACTAACCTGTACCCCAGCCCATTGACTTGGTACCGGTACCCCCTGTATATAGCCTCGTTATTACCTGGACTAACCTGTACCCCAGCCCATTGACTTGGTACCGGTACCCCCTGTATATAGCCTCGTTATTACCTGGACTAACCTGTACCCCAGCCCATTGACTCGGTACCGGTACCCCCTGTATATAGCCTCGTTATTACCTGGACTAACCTGTACCCCAGCCCATTGACTTGGTACCGGTACCCCCTGTATATAGCCTCGTTATTACCTGGACTAACCTGTACCCCAGCCCATTGACTCGGTACCGGTACCCCCTGTATATAGCCTCGTTATTGTTATTTTATTATGTTACTTTTTATTATTTTTTACTTTAGTTTATTTGGTAAATATTTTCTTAACTCTTTCTTGAACTGCATTGTTGGTTAAGGGCTTGTAAGTAAACATTTCACGGTAAGGTCTACACCTGTTGTATTTGGCGCATGTGACAAATAAAGTTTGATTTGATTTGATTGTTCCTACCTGGTTTTTCCCTGGTTGGTGACTGACTGTTTCTAACTGGTTTTTCCCTGGTTGGTGACTGTTTGTTTCTAACTGGTTTTTCCCTGGTTGGTGACTGTTTGTTTCTAACTGGTTTTTCCCTGGTTGGTGACTGTTTATTTCTAATTGGTTTTTCCCTGGTTGGTGACTGTTTGTTTCTAACTGGTTTTTCCCTGGTTGGTGACTGTTTGTTTCTAACTGGTTTTTCCTGGTTGGTGACTGTTTGTTTCTAACTGGTTTTTCCCTGGTTGGTGACTGTTTGTTTCTAACTGTTTTTTCCCTGGTTGGTGACTGTTTATTTCTAATTGGTTTTTCCCTGGTTGGTGACTGTTTGTTTCTAACTGGTTTTTCCCTGGTTGGTGACTGTTTGTTTCTAACTGGTTTTTCCCTGGTTGGTGACTGTTTGTTTCTAACTGGTTTTTCCCTGGTTGGTGACTGTTTGTTTCTAACTGGTTTTTCCCTGGTTGGTGACTGTTTGTTTCTAGCTGGTTTTTCCCTGGTTGGTGACTGTTTATTTCTAATTGGTTTTTCCCTGGTTGGTGACTGTTTGTTTCTAACTGGTTTTTCCCTGGTTGTTAACTGTTTGTTTCTAACTGTTTCGTCCCTGGTTGGTGACTGTTTGTTTCTAACTGGTTTTTCCCTGGTTGGTGACTGTTTGTTTATAACTGGTTTTTCCCTGGTTGGTGACTGTTTGTTTCTAACTGTT